TGCTAATTATATACAAAAAGAAATTGTATCTCTTTTGAGAATGAGCCCACTTGAGCAATATTATTGTACATAGTAGCTAATGAAAGATGATCTCCGGGGAGAGTTTTTCGGTAGATTTGCAGAGATTGTTCGTAAAATGCAACTGCTTCTTTGAATTGCCCTTGGTCTTTTTTCACCCGTCCAAGCATGTTACTAATATCTGCTCTATCACTATCATCCGATGCCTGTTCTAGTAGTGCCATATATAGTTCTTCGGCCTTGTCGAATTGACCTATTTTGAGTAACAATTTACCGATTCGACGCCATCCGGTGCCGTCGACTTCTTGTCGTATAAAGTCAGTTAATTCACGAAGTTGTGGATCATCATCTGACGTAAGTTTAAGATCGACTTGATAAAGTGCACGATTGTTGTCAAGTTTTCGCACTTCACCAATGCGAAAGACGGCGTGCATGGAGAAGAGAATTTCCTCTTCTTCCTTGAAATAACTTACCTCCCGAATGGAGGCAAATGGAGTCGATGAGACCGTGAGATCGCTCGTGATTTTAAAAAAAATACCCACTGTATCGGTTGCTGCTAGGTTACTTTCGGCGAAAAGGAGAGAAACGTCACGATCTGTACTGGTTGATAAAAAGTTGTTAAAAGAAATCAGGCCACCTTTGTTTTCTGTGAGCTTTTCAAAATCTGCTTTCGATAGGCCTTGCCCTCGAAAGACTGTAAGAATCTTGTTATGGTATTGACTGACCTGATTTTTGTACAAGGTTTCGATTTGACGATGTACATCACACAGGAAAAAACCCATTCGGATCATTATATTGCCATTGAGGGTTCTTAACGCGCCATTGAGCATTTCGTAGGTGAAGCATTGGCGTGTATACCACCAAATGGCATCGGATGCTTGATAAGTAAGTTGAAATTCTTGGATAATTTTCATTTTCTTCTTATTATCTTGGTATTCTTGTTGACAGTAGGTGACCAAATCTTGGACGGCTTGTTGTTCATGTTCGATTTCAAGGAGTATTTCCTTGAATATTTGCGAATACATAAAAGAAGGTTCTAGCTGATCTAGATTCTTGCTAGAACCTCCTGCATTCACACTAACAATGCTTACCAACATGTGATCTTGATTGCATTGTTTGATTGCTGTTGCCAGTTTGTCACAAATATGTTTGATTGAGGTGTGAACACCTTTGATTTTCGGCCAATTTTGCGCCCATGCTTGATGCCATTGTTTATTACCACAAAATATAAAAATGGCATTTAATTTTGCCATATCATGAATATCTGGTACCAAATATTGTCCAAGTTCACCGGAAGAGATAACAAATGAGATCTCCTCTTGATTTTTTGTGAGCTGTTGTATACATTGTTCAGCTGTCTCACATGGCTTCACTTGGTTAACGACAGCACGTAATTGTTCCATTGTATTTTGGCAATCTTGATTTGCCATGTCGATATTTCCATCGACCCAGATGACCAAATAATTTTCAGCCATACGTTTACTTGGATATCGACTCATTTTTGATGCCATGTTTGCTGCTTGGTTAGTAATCGTGTATTGTAAAGAATAGATTGTTGTTTGAATATTTATTACCTTTTCTATTTATTCATTCAATGTTCGCTGCTTTTTTGTTGACACTCAAGGACGAACTCAATTACCCAGTGAAAAATATTTAAAAAAAAAAACGGAACAGAATGGTTTCATAAAAATATGGAAACCTTTTTCTATGTAAAGAATGCGTTCCTTTTGCTAGTCAATGCATTCATGTTCAAGAAGAAACACTCTCAGCCTGAAGGAACTCGTTCTTTGCCGTTCCACAATAAGACGGAATGCTTTCTTTTCTATTGAGAAATTGTTCTCTATTTGAAGGGAAAGCATTCCGAACCATTCTTAAACCAATAGAACCATCCTAGCTCATTCTCTTTCGGAACGACACAGATAGCAATCCATCGAAATAAGATCGCTTTCTTTTACGTTTTCTAGAGAAGCATTAAAAGAATGAATTCTTCTAAGTGATGAATACTTTCTTTTGGAATTAAAGCACATTTCGATTCAAAAATCAAAGATCTGAAGCAAAGCAGGTTGAAACTGATGTGAGAAATGGTAGAACCTTCAGCTAGTTATTCTTTGGGGATGCTACTTCTGATTTAGAAAAAGCATGATTTTAATAACGGTTTGAGTTACAACGATTTGGAGCACGCCATTCGATCGAGCTCGTTGAGTTACCCCGGAAATGGTCTTTTGACGAATTAAAGATTTATCCATTAATAATTAGCCGTATGATCAAGAAAGTTACCTTCTCTCAAGAAGAGAAAGCATTCCAAAAGTGGTGGAAAGCGTTCCAAAAGTGATGGAATGCTTTGTTGATCGCTCCGTTTTTGGAACGACTAAGAACACGTTCCAAAAGTGATAGAATGCGTTCTAGACCGTTCCATTTTGGAATGTTTTCCATTTTTTTCGGAACGTTTTCTTTTCTTACAAAAAGGGCTTTCAATTTTTTCGAACTCATTCTCAACCGTTATTTTTTACAAATATTTTTCACTGGGTAGATTGTAATTGAAAATATGGTTGTCAGCAACAAAGGAAAGAGAAAAAAACCCAACAACATCATTAATTGTATTGCTATTCTTTCCAACTTTCGTTTGCTTTTCATCTACTTAAGCACTTGAGTCTTTTCTTTCATACTGGCAAGAACGAAAAAAAAACAACATAGACATTGCCAGTTGCACTTGTTTTATTATGGTTACAATGAACATTGTGATAATGTAAACAAAATAAGAAGAAAAAAGGTTTTATTTTCATTCAAGCAACATCGAAGCAACGACTGTTTTTTACTTTGTGAAATATAGTACATATTATTAATAATTATCATTTTGCTTGATTCCACAACGACATGTATTATTCCTCATGGTTACTAAAGTGATTACGAGTTCCGTAATGCGAATTCGGAAATCATGAAACATTGAAGCACCTATTATCAACTCAAAAAAAAATTGAGTGAAGTATTTCAATAAGCATTGTTCGTATACTGGATGTCCTGAAAGAAAAAGATTTTTTTTATAAGTAAAAAGGTTTAGTAATAGCGATTAAAACTATTATTGTCTAATTAAGAGAAAAAAGTTTACAGCTTCTGCCAAAGATAAACGATACATTTTCAGTTTCCATAACATGATTCGAATCTCTCATATTCTTAAATTTTCTCAATTCGTTAAAGATTTTACTTGCAATGTTTATCTTTCTGATTAGCCTGCCTAACTGATTCAACGCTTCACGAAATTCTTCCTGATGTTTTTACACAAGAAACTGTTCAAGATACCGATCAACTAAAGTTAACTTTTAATAGAGTATTTCCATGGGTAGTCAGTCATAAAATGAAATCGGTATGTAAAAACTCTTTGTATATTCCAATGATAGAGCTTAATAGATGAAGGAGCTGTATAAAATGATATATCTTTATAAATTTTTAGATATTTTTGTTTTCCTTATTGTTGACGATTTATGGGTGTAATTGGTAAAAACGGCCAACTCTGTATTAAAATTAACTGTGCTAGATTTCAAGCGTATCAATAAGTTCCTGATTTATGAATAGAAACTTGGAATTTGTTTTCATGATCAAAAAAATTAGTTCATATGATCCAAATATAATGTAGATATCATTGAGAAGGTAGTCACCCGATAATGTAGGTGTAGGTGTTGGTTAAGAAAAAAATCACACCCTCAACACCAACACTCATACCTACCCACATTAATTTGACATGTCCAAAGCTGATAAAGTCCCTAAGACTATGTAGCCCACGAAAAGTTTTGTTTGACTTCATCAAAATAAAAAAAAAACAAAATAAGTAGAAAGAAACGCGCACAGTTTCATACTTTAATTCTCTATTCTATTGAAAACTAGATCTAAGGACATGGCAGATTTACGATTCTAATCCGATAGTGTCCTTTGCTACAGAAAGCCACACAAACTTTGATCGATAAGATAGCGTAATAATTTAAGAGTTGTCTAATTGCATCTATATTCGAATTCGAATTCGAATCAATATTCAAAATACAATGAACTATTTCAATAGGATAATCATTACTTGTATTAAAATTATAAGTGAGAAAGAATTTATAGTTTATTTTTGTATGCTGGTGCCATACGTGAATATAAAATTTACATTCGAACTCGTATTAGACAAGCACTGCTATGCTCATGATTTTTTTTGTGGGTGACCAATGTCGTCGTGAAGTTAAATAAGCGGGACTCACAAAATGAATATAATATCACTCAGAATTTCATTGACATGATGCTCGATTTATTTTGTTTTCTTTTTTCTAATTTTGCTACAAAGCATATTAGCTCAAATTAGCAGAGATATTTAGGACACGAATCTTTCTTTCTGTATTCAAAAGTAGCAACTACAAAACACAATCATAGTAGCGCATGTCATATGCCTTTGCACAAACACAAAAGTTTTTCCGCGAATAAAAAATATATTTGTCGTAACGCTGATTTCAAGGTTCTCTTGCGTTTTTTCTGAAAATACAATTGAAACAAACAAGAAAGATCAACAAAAAAAAGTACATTAACAACAAATGAACCAACGAAATAAAAACACATAAAAAGCAATTTTTATTATTGTTGTCATCTATGGCTTTTTTTTCTTCCTCCAGGTAAGATTACATTTTTCTTCGTGTTTTTTTCTTTCTTTCAATGTTGTTGACATTTCATCAAGAGTATTTTGTCGTTGGCTATCTATGGACGTCTAGAGAGTTAGCATGTTTGATTCATTTAATGTTGCGAAGATCTAGAGACTAAGTATGATAGGCATCGTATTGAATATATCATTAAAATCGAATGAATTCTTCACTATTTTGATGTGACAAGGACATTTACAAATTTTTTATAATGTAAACAAAGACATTACAGAAGTTTTCTTACGATGAAAAATGTTTATATCGGAAAATCGAAGAAAAGAATGATGTATGATGGATTGCCTAGCAATGAAAGAAAGGCATTTCCGAAATTGGAACTGTAGATATAGAAATTTCAAAAGCCTAGTATTTATCTGTTTGGTTGATCACTATATTCTGGGCAATGCAGTTAACCTGCTTATATCTCTTAATGTGTATAATATATAATGCTTCTACGAAGGAAGTCTTCATATAATATTAGAACTTTTAAAGCTTTGGAAATAACTTAGGCATGCCGTAAAATCAATACGCAAAACATAGAACTATTGAATATTTGTAAGAGCCAGACTTTCTCGAGATTAGATACCGTTTTGCATCATACGGTCCATACCAACACAATTCGGCATTGTGTGAGTGGGAATAAATGTTTTTACAACTACGGATTGATGGAATGCTAACAA